ATTCTGTTCATTCTTTGTTGTTGTTGTTAATTGCGAAGTCGTGTCCGACCCATCGCGACCCCATGGACAACGTTCCTCCAGGTCTTCCTGTCCTGTTCATTCTTATCTAGTGCCAATTTAATGCTGATGGTTAGTGGACTAGATTCTTGTGTGTAGGCATGAGCAATAAAATCATCTTAACTGGAATTTAATGTGTGTCCTGATTCTTCTTGCCTAACAACACCCCACCCCAACCAATAACAAAGCCAAAGTTTTCATGGAACACAAAGTACCAAGACCATCCAAAGGAGGCATCCAACAACACTCTATGAGAATCCAAAATCTAATGTATGGTTTATTTTGTTTTTTTCCAGTTAATGACTCATCATGTTTATCCACATGCCTCTACTTCAGTGGTTCTCAACCTTTTTAATGTCACGACCCCCAACCGGTCGTAAGTTGAGGACTATTCAACCAGTCGTAAGTCGAGGACTACTCAAGTGGTGCAGCACTGTTTGCAGAATGGGACTTTTGGCGGGCTCAGCAGGGCAGAGACAGCCTGGACAATTCCTATTGGCTTTTGAAAGCCAATAGAATTAGACTCTATTCAAGAGAGTCTGTTCTATTGGCTTTCAAAAGCCAATAGAATAAAAGGGAGTAGCACAGCTAAGGAAAAGGGGGAAAAAAATGTCGGACTGCATTGTTTGGCGACCCCCCGTGAAATGGTCGTTCGACCCCAAATGGGGTCCCGACCCACAGGTTGAGAACCACTGCTCTACTTACATTCGAATTTGAACTCATCTTGAGAAGCATAGAAACATAGAGATATATTTGATTTTATAGCTTTGGTCTAATCATATCAAATGTTTGTTATGAATGATATGTTTGGTTAGCCATCATTCCTTTTTTCTCTCCTTTTCCACCAGCAAAAATCAGGATAAAGGATGCCTGTCTTTACAGGCTGATTGCACAGACAAGTCAAGTAGGAGTCACAAAGTGCCTTCAAAAAATGCTAAACAGCAGGGCCTGCCCTTGGCATTATTTAATCAAAATTTTAGAGAGAAAGGAAATTGCACTTCAACACCCTTCTGACCTCACAAACTCTTGCATCCTTCAGTGAATGACTCTGTTGGGTGTGTATCATCATCATAAATCTAAAGGTAAAGCACTATCAAAGCCACAAGGAGAAGGAAAACATCTTGCAAGCTGTTAAGTTAGAAATGCCCACTAGATCACCCCTATAGGATTTGCATTCCTCTCTATCTGCATATGACTAAAATAGTAAGAGGGTGTGTGTGTACCCATTTGGTTCTTGCCACACTGAAAATCCAATTATATACATGTGTCTTCCAGGCTACTTTCTATTTGTCAAGTAACAATGAAAATTAGATCATAGCCAGTGTAACTAACATCTTTTGAAAGTCCTTCCTTAAATCTCAGGGGGGAAGCATTCTCTTTTCCCCTCACCATCATAAAATCAAAATATCATGATACTACAGGAGATGAAATAGAGTTCATAGTGTGCCAAAATGCTCTATAGACCAAGCATTTAACAGGTTTAGTGCTAAAGAGACTGGGTTTTTCAAAGTCTTTCAAGCAAGAAAACAAAAAAGTCTTTAAGAATTCAGCAGAACAAGTTGGGCCTTTTCTCACTTTCAGCAAGCGTGTAAATATCCTGTTCACCAGGCAATCGCCCCATAAGTCTTTTTCTGGAACTAAGTGCCCACTAAACCTTGATAGATGATGTTTTGCACTCTTTTTTTAAAAATTTTATTTTCCATTTTTCAATACATTTAATACTTTCAATACATTATAAAAATACTTTTGAAATAAATTCATACATATAACCTTAGGTGTCGCTCGTCCACCTCCCCCCCCCACTGCATCCGCCCTCTCTACCTTCCTTCCTTACTTCCCTCCTTCCTTCTCTCCTCTCTTCACCTCTCTCCCCTCCTCCCTTCCTCCCATCCTACTTCCTCCCATCCATTTGCACTCTTTTATCAGTATTAATCTGGAATAACTCTGCTTCTTATAAGATCTGAGTCTGACAAGCTCACCAACAAAAACATAGGGCTGCAAGATTTAGCTGTCATTCTATCAGCCAGGACTTCAGGGGTTGGGGGTGTTTTTCCCCCGTTCTTTGCTTGGCCACCACTGTCCCTTTCAGCAAGTATAATTCTAAACACAACCCCTGTTCTGCCATTTTCCTGAGCTGTAAGGGGAGGCGATAAGGAGAGCTCCATGTGTGCAGGAATGGAGAGCCAAGTGTTTATTTTAAACATGTAGGAATGTATTTCATTCCATTAAGAGGAGGAAGGTAAAACGCGATAAGACAGGATAAGCTTTGAATGAAAAGCATCCCCAGTTAGAGAGGGTGAGAGAGCAGGTGATGAGAAAGGCCTCTGCGCAAAGCTTTGAAGAGCAGCTTTCAGTTGAGAAAGATAGTTTGAAAATGGACGGAGAAATCAGTTGATGTGGTTTATTGCAGCTACCTCCATCGCAATTAATCAATGGCCTTATTTTATCAAAACACATTTTTAACCAATTGATCCAGCTGATTAAGCGGTGCATTTTCTTCAGAACTGTAAAGTACCATCAAGTTTTGGGAGGAACAGGTGTGTTTGCACGCGCGCGCACATGTGTGTGTGTGTGTGTGTGTGTGTGTACATGTGCATGGTGTTTGCATGAATGGGAGTGGGACAGAGAACAATAATTTACAGAGAGTTAAGAGCACTTATGCACTTCCTGTGTATGACCTCAAAGTTAGCTTTCTCTGAATCCTGAAATTAATCCATCCTGGATGAATTTAGTGGCTTTCTAGCTTCTATTTCTCAATTGACTTTAAATTGCCTATTAAAAATTGATGGTAAGACAAGACAGCCAAAGTTGATATAAAGCACATACATTCAAATAGGCTTTAATGCAAGTTAGCCATGCTGTTGGTCTCTATGTGTATTTATGTATGTCCTTCTGTCTGTGCACATATATATATGTACAGTAGCTCTCACTCCAGTCTAATAGCAGATCTATTCTAAATTCATCACAACAGGAATTGAGTTTGAGATGCAATTTCCTTTCAAAGTGGTTCTAAGACAACTTCGTCAACTATAGTATAATAATCAAATGGGTCAGCAGCTGGGTCTATATGCTCCAACCTTGCACTATGCAGGTTCAGGTAGGAAACAACCGCAAAGGGAAGCCAAAAACTTTGCTCATAAGGTCCTCACAAAAAAAAATCCCATCAGAAACAGATACAATATCTAAACTTCCAGTGCAATGAAAGAGCCTTTGAACCTTAAGGGAGGGCAAAGCATTTTAACAAGCTATATATATATGAGTTTTTGAAAAGTCAAATCCTTCAAAAACAACCTACCCATATTTTTTTCTGCAATATACTAGAGGGCAAGATTTTTCTATTTTGTGCACACACACACACACACACACACACACACTAAATCTCACTATAAATGCCTTGTTAGGTGACAGCAGAGTCACTGAAACCACCCTTCACTTCTATTTCCAGTCAGAGGGTCAAAATCTGCTTTTCATGACATAAAGCTGTTGCCCACTTAAATTAACACTTTGGCTGCAATCACAAAGAACCCAAGGGCCAAACATTACTGACAAGCATTCCTTTGAGCTGGACCGCAAGAGTTAGTGTTATTTTACAAGATGCATAGACAGCAACCAGAATAAGAAGGTGGAGAGAGAACAAGAGTATAAGTTATCCATTTAAAGACCTTTTTTTTTTTTTTTAGTCTGTCCTTTTACATTTGCAGGAAAAGCCTGACATTTGTCATTTAAAAGAAATCAAAGCTGCAAGTAGGGAGTCTTCTGAACACATGGAGAGAACTGAAATACTTTACTAGACAATACTGTATAATAAATAGTGCTTTCATCTACCCTCCATGTATTGCCTGCCATCTCTTCTGAGGCAAATTCAAGGACCTAGCAAGCTCTGTCTCTCTTACACCCAATACCCAACGCATGGCATGAACCAGAGCTAGTAGCGACCGTCAGAGAGATACACCCACGCCCCGACGGCTTAGGAAAACCCTAGTCGTGCTTTCCGAGGGTGTACAGACTTGTCAGGAATCGGATTTTTGTGACTGGGGACTGTTGCAATCTCATCAGTTAGAAATGCAGGAACTTAACAGCGGGCAAACACCGCATCCTCCATCGCTATCCGGGAGCTAGCTAGCGCTGCGGTCCAACACTGGTTTACTCCGAGGTAACGTCCACAAGGCGGCTTACTCTCAGGGAAGTGTAACACCCAAGACTAATCCAGAAGACCCGACCCGACGTGCTTCCGAGAAGTCACGCCACAGACTCCGGTGCCAAGTGCCCAGCATCCGACCGTAAACCCACCCAGCGTCGCTTTACCAACAAACCCGGGAAAACGGCAGGATTGCAAACGAGCCAGCGCACCGCCCAGCCCTCTTACACTTCGGCGGTCCTGCTTGGGAAGCCCGGTGGTCCCGGATCCCATCGCTACAGCCTCAGGACGAAAGCGGTGGGCTGGGTTTTTTTTTTTTTTTTTGTAGAAATCCCTTTTAAGTCCGACCGGAGTCCCCAAACTCGGATTGGGGCAGGGAGAGAAAGCAAGCGAGGAGAAAGGGCGCGGGCAGAGCGATCCAGAGCGCAAGTATTGCTCCTCCGATGGAGTGGCGGGAAGGTAAGAAGGGGGGGAACTTGGCGGGTGTTGCAACCCTGCTCCCTCCCTCCCTCCCTGCCCGCAAAAGAGGCATTCCGACAACCTGGCTGTCGAGCGTGTCAACCTGTAGACCGGGCTTTGGAGGAACTTACCGGAGGGGGTGGGGGCGAGGGAGGGGTGAGGGGGGGAAGGAAAGAAAGAAAGAAAGACTGCCCAGGCCAACTTGCAACCTTTCCACACACCTGCTCGCCCCACGCAGAAGCCCTTGCCTCTTCCCCCCGCCCTTCCCCGGACCCTCTCCGGCGAAGGCAACACGTCCCCCACCCCCTCTCCCGCGCCCACCTCGCGGGGGGGGGTCCTTACTCACCTCGCAGCGTCCCGGCTCCGCCGAGCAGCGCAAACAACAATCCAACGCAGACGCAAGGCGCGGTCCTGCCGTCCAGGCTGCCAGCCCTCATGGCGCTGAAAACGAAGAGCGGGCAGAGAGGGCGAACTCTACCAGCCTGGCTTAACTCCGGGAATGCGACGTTGCCCTCTCCGCTGAAAGCAGCAACAGCAGCAGCAGCAGCAGCAGCCACCAACCCGCCGCCCGGCTCTAGACTAAAGCCGAGCAACCGCGCGCCTGCATCCCAATTAGACCCCCCCCCCTCCCGCCTCCTCTCCGACAGCCAATTAGGCGAGGGCTGGGCGGAGCCAGCGGCTGAAAGGGAGGGGCGGGCCGGCAAGCGAAGCCAAGCGAGAGTTGTCACCAACCCGCCTGGGCGGCTTCGCTCTCGCCGGCTCCCCTTTGCGCTTCTGCTGCGCTCGCCTTCGCCTTCGCCGCCGGTCTCCGAGCCTCCGCTGCGGTGTCTTTCTGCCTCTTCCGGGGCCGGCTGTGGGTGAGCTTTCCAGCGTCCTCTGGTTGGAGAAGGCTTTGGAAGCGGACGCCGGCGCCGGTTGCAGTTTCTCCCCTTTTCTGCTGCTCCCCCAAAACGCCCCATCCTCGTGAGGAAGTGCTGAAGGACAGCGCGGGACTTACCGCCGAGGAAATGTCGCCGCAACTCTTGTTTGGCTTCTGACCGCTGGCAGCGTTGGGTTGACCTGGGCCGGGCTGGGGAAGTGCTAAGGAGGCTTCCGTTTGATTGATACTTGGATAGATGACCACTGAGGGTCATCTGTCCATTAGTGAGCGTCCCCATAGAGAGACGGGGCGATCTGAAAGCGTCTCCCAAGAAGGCAAGGCACGTCCATATATAATAATAATAGTAACAACAACAACAACAACAACAACAATAATAATAATATAGAAAGACTGTGGCAAAAGCAAGCAAGGGTAGTACCAATAGTGATAGGCTCCTTGAGTGCAATCCCAAAACAACTGGAGCACCACTTGAACACCATTGACATTGACAAATTCGCTATTAGTCAGTTGCAAAAGGCGGCCTTACTAGGAACTGCTTCCATCCTGCGACGACATCTGTAATACCATCAAACATCCACATCTGCCTATCCCAGGTCCTGGGTAAGGACTCGATAGGTAGACAAAATGCCAAATCCAGTCTGAACATCTGGCTGACTGTGCGATGATCCATAATAAAAAATAATAAAGTTGGAAGGGACCTTGGAGGTCATCGAGTCCAACCCCCTGCTCAGGCAGGAAATCCTATACCATTTCAGACAAATGGCTGTCCAGTCTCTTCTTAAAAACTTCCAGTGTTGGAGCATTCACCGCTTCTGGAGGCAGGTTGTTCCACTGGTTAATTGTTCTAACTGTCAGGAAATTTCTCCTTAGTTCTAGGTTGCTTCTCTCCTTGATTAGTTTCCATCCGTTGCTTCCTGTCCTGCCTTCAGGTGCTTTGGAGAATAGCTTGACTCCCTCTTCTTTGGGGCAGCCCCTGAGATATTGGAACATTGCTTCTTGAATTGACCTCCAGCTTTTCAATCTGTCTCTTTTCTATCCAAACTATCAATTTTTGTTAGTTTTTATCTTTATCACTCTATCATGTCCCCCCTCGTCCTTCTCTTCATTAAACTAGACATATCCAATTCCAGCAACTGTTCCTCAGGGTTGCACCCCATGATGTCATCTGGAGTTGATTCGGACTGGGAAGAAACTTGGCACTTACTTGCAGTTAAATGTGTTTCTGTGGTTACTAGAGCTGGACACCTTTACCCCAGTTGTGTTAAGGTTGCAATGCAATAAGCTAAAATTTTATCATTTTCTTCTTCATTTCCACTTCCTTTCCCTTTATTGCCTTTTCCTTTTCACCTCTTTTCTCTTTCTGACTCACCTAATTCTATTTGCCGTACTTGTTTTCACTATATTTCTATCTTTTCCATCTCATTATTATTTTTCACAGAAGCTATAAATAATCAGACGACTGATTATTTGAACACATTTATATTATATTTTGGGTCGGTTCAAATTTGTGCTGACTCCTGGTGACTGCCTGGATAAGTCCCTGCAGTTTTCTGGATAAGATTTCAGAAGGGGTTGGTGATTACTTCCTTCCTAGGGCTGAGAGACAATGAATGGCCAAAGGTCACCTAGCTTCCTTTGGACTTAAGGCAGAACTAGAACTCATGGCCTCCTGATTTGTAGCCTGATGTGTTAACCATTATGCCAAACTGGATTTCTATTTACTGTATGGGTTTACTGTATATTCTGGTCAGTTAAACTGAGTTAACCAAGTGGGCTATCTCTGTAAAACCTGCTAAAGCACACAAATTAAAATTGAGCAAGCTTAAACTGTTTCCAAATATAATCACTCCATCTGAAACTTGCCCCATTAAACTACCTTTGAGGATGCTATTATTTCTGACTTGTTCCCAAGGTATGTGCATGTTTGCATAGGTCTGTGCATACTGCAAAAAGAAGTCAACAGAAGTACTTTATGCTTCCTGCTAGTGCAGCACTTCTCTGTTATTCAATAAAGCAGTCTACCTTTTCTCAGTTTTTTGCCTAAGCCAGAAAAAGATGCCTCTGCTTTCAAAACTGCATTCGTTTTAATAAGATAATTCCTTAAAGCAACACCAACTTTTTTTTCAAAGCACACACAGAAGTTGGAAAGAAGTTGGAGATTTTTAACAAAAGAAATGATCTGAACTCACGTGAGGTCCAAATCAATCACTTCTGAAGCACCCACAGTATAATTTCTGTGGGTTTTAGCAGCAGAGAAGTGCGCACAGCCAAGCAAGGAGCTGGTCCCCTGCCCCACCATTACTTCAGAAACTCCCATAGCTTTAGCATGTTACTCAGTGTTCATCAGTGGCATTGTTAAACTTGTCCAGCCAAATTCTTATGCCTCAGGCTGCATGTTGGGCAAGAGAGAAAAGATTTCTATCATGAAATCATAAGAAATATTAGATCTCCTACCTATAGATCCTGAAGAAGAAGAAGAAGAAGAAGAAGAAGAAGAAGAAGAAGAAGAAGAAGAAGAAGAAGAAGAAGAAGAAGAAGAAGAAGAAGAAGAAGAAGAAGAAGAAGAAGAAGAAGAAGAAGAAGAAGAAGAAGAAGAAGAAGAAGAAGAAGAAGAAGAAGAAGAAGAAGAAGAAGAAGAAGAAGAAGAAGAAGAAGAAGAAGAAATCAATTCAGTTGTGTCTGACTCTTGGTGATTCTATGGACCAGGTCTCTCCACATCTTCCAATCTTGCAGTGCTTCTTTAAGTTTTTCCATGCTCTGGCCAGTATCAGCATTAATGGTAAGTATATACCCAATGAACTTCAAATATTCAGCTTTCTCTTCAGGAGCAATCCAAGATACCGATTAGCAACAGGCTTGTAGTTGTGGGTTCATTGGTGCTCTCTTAGCTTGGTGGGGTTTTTTGCAGATGTTTCATTATCAAAGTAGGTAGCATCCTGGATCAGAGAGCACCAAAAACATACAGTTCAACCCTGAGCTAAAAATACTCTCTTCTATAGTCTTATAGTTAACAGTGGTTGCCTAAACCAGTGATTCTTAACCTCAGCAGATTTCAGATGTGTGAACTTCAACTCTCAGAATTCCCCAGACTTAATTTTTCTGAATCATAAACTTGTAAATATCACCCCAGTGGTGACATTTTACACCACCCCAAACTTTTGTTTGGAGAAGATGTATTTAAAAAGAAGTCTACATTGAGAAAGTTGCATTTGAAAAAAAAATACATATATTAAGGATAGATATGTTTTGTTCCCCCTCCCCACTAAAAAAATCTTTAATAGAAAGTTGAGCACACAACTAGATATGTTAGGAAAAGTTGCAAATTGTAGTAAGTGTTCAGTAAATGTTTTCTGTTTTTTTCCTCCCCATTGGAAAAAGAGGCATGATACATGAAATCTTGCAAAACTGACAAGAAGATCTAGACTAATCCATACGTTTCCAGCCACAAGGGAAGTTTTAGAGTGAAGGATCTGTACCTTAACAATATAATGCACAGTCAGCTACTTCACAACAATAATGCAAATATTTTTAAAGCACAAACAATTGCAAAGCACTCGGAATGAAGCAGAAAAAAAAATAGAAGCCCTTTTTACAAAGCAACAAATTTCTTAGAAAAACAGGAGACAGATTTCAGCTCAGCAGTAGCTCCTATTAGAAGATATTACACTACCATTGATTTTTAAAATATAAATGTTTAAGCATGGGGGAACAGAATGAAAAGGCAGATGAGATTGCAGAAAAAGCAAAAGATGAAATACAAAATAAGATGAAGAGACAAAGAGGGTTATAGAAAAGCTACGCTATACTGCTTAGTTAAATATAAAGTTAGGGTGCAACCCAAATTTCTCTCTCTCTCTCTCTCTCTCTCTCACACACACACACACACACACACACACACACACACACACACACACACTGAAATATTCCTCTTCATTTCAGCAATCTCCTGACCCTTGGTAGTTGTTCCCATACACAGTTGGATCATCACTCCCACATTAAAAGCTGAAAAATGTATGTGTATATTATATACAGTCATATGTTAACTGCAGAGTAAATTCTGTTAAAACCACCAGGAGACACTTCTAAAGCTCTTTCTTAATATTCAATTTACAATGTGTAGTTCCAATATTCTCCTGGATCAAAGGAAATTGGCTTTACTTTATTTCTATGCTATCGTTCCGACAGTATTTTCCTGCTCTTGAAAATAAATAGTTCTTCCTACTTAAGTAAGTAGAATCCTGCTATAGAAACAAGGTGTATGTGTGTGGGGAGGGGACTATATTTGCATGAATGTTTTGGAGCTGAGTGGCGGAACATTGTGAGGAATAGTAACTTGTTGCAGAATACAACTATAGATATGTGTTTCCTGCATGTCTGAAATATTATCAGTTCTTCTCTTAAATCACAGGCTGGTGGGATATTTCAGTCACATCACTGACCAGTCTTTTGTTTCAAAATGTTGGCTACCCAATTTATGATAACAGTTATTTCTACTGACACAATAAAGGTGGCTGGGTGGTACATTAAATTGGGGGGGGAAGTCTTCATGACTGGAGCACCCAAAGTTCTTTTTAAGTTGTTGAACTACAATTCCCAACACTCCTCAATGTCTGGGTGGGTAAACTGCTGCTTCTGGGAATTATAGTTCAGTAACACTTGAAGGGTCACAGATTCCTCATC